ATGCGATACTCGTTTATTAACAATAATATATGAATTATAAGGAATATAAGGATCCTAATTCACTATGCGAAACACTGCGAAAAACACACCGACTCTAGCTGAAACTCCTACTGCTTATATATATCTAATTGAGCTATTTTTAGCAGCTAATTCTACTATTCTATCGATTACTCTTCAGTATACGTTTCGTTTGAATCGTACGGAAACGTTTCATCACTATTTCCGCACTATTTCATTACTGTTTTAGCAGTGACAAACTAGTGACAAACTAGTGCTCGTATCACTATCACTGAAATTTTTCTTTTTGCTGTTCTTTCATCTTCCGTTATTGTTAGGTTATCCTAATTTTCTTCAATCCTTCCAAAGTTTCTTTTTTAATTTCGTTAAAAAGGTTTCATGCTTCTTCCTTATTTTTTTTTTCATCTTCTATTTTTTGTTCGATGAGCGACCTGAATTAATTGGTGTTTGGTCACTTACAACAGTGCTTGTACCCCTCAACTCTTGTACCCCTACTTCCAACTTCCGAAATCACAAGCTTTAAAACAATGAATATACCACCTGGATCTCTCGATAATAATAAGTCGGGCTCGTCGGGCCGGAGATTTTATCCGACTTATCAAGAGATCTGACTATCGAATTTCATAATTTTTAATAAAAAATCTCCCCCTCCCTTTTTATTTAATAAGCAATAATAATGATGCATTCACTTTCTTCCAATTTGATGTTTTAGGTCATTCATTCTCGAGATTACTGTCCACTTTTATATCAAATATATTTTGATCCAAAGTGCCCTTACTCTACCTTCTGTATACACCACTTTATACGTCCCCAACGCCGTAGTCACAAAGTCATTACCTGTTTCGGTTTTGGATCAAATGCTCGACAGCATTGCGGCCGCTCAAGCTGTGCGCACATTCTTTTAGTGTTGTCGGAATCCAATTCACGCGTCGAAGCACAGTTGAGACGAAAGGTGTTACCGCCACCTCTCCGTAATACCTCTTCGAGGCACTATAACGGAGGTTTCACAAGAATGCTGACCTTTCATTTTCGTCAGACAGCCAAAAAGACACTTAATCGATGCAATAATGCATCAATGACAATAATTCACACAGTTGACTTATAACAGTGACTAGTAATATTAATACGCAAACGACATAAGATTGTGTTCGAATATTGTCATCTAAACAATATATCCGTAGTATTAATGAATACGCGCAGTAGAGGCAATTGTTGGTGTAATCGTGGTGATAGGAAATAAATTGGATAATACAGTAGCGAGCACCAAAAGCGTCGACGATGCAAACAATATATTTATTGGCGTATCTATTAAATGGGTATGCTCACAGTACGTTCACATTAAATGTTTTCGCATCCAAGTAGTAACAGTATCAAAGACAACCAGTAGAATACCTCCTCCTGGACCAAGACGAAGAACCTTTGGAACAAAGCCTTTATATAAAGCACCGAATCTAAAGGAAAGGAGCAATTATGTAAGTCGATAGACCCTCAATCCCCGATGTACCAAAGCGTATTATTGTGTATTGTAATCAACACATTACCCTTCTTCCCGAAAAACTGTCTTTAAAGCTGGAAGTGTCCAATTGTATTTCCTGTTTGGACCCGAATCTCCTTGAATACGCGTCTTTACAACGTCGAATGGCGTATTGATGATGGTGCCTACTGTGCCTCCTATTGCACCTGCAACAAAGTTATTGAATAGAGTGCCTTTCTTTGTCTGATGGGAAGCAAAGAGCTGAGAGTTAATCCCAAGTGATTCTGATTTTGCTCACACATTGTACAATACGTAGAATACTTGCTTCTGCTTTGGGAAGTCTCTTCCTTATTGTATAAATGACACCAAAATATCCACCATTCCATGTTGCATGACGCCATATTGTTGCTTCTAATCCATTAAATAACGCGAAAGGTCCTATAAACGAGACATAGATGAGTATTTAATATTCAAGTATAACGCCGTCGGGCGGTTAAACAAAACCAGGAAATCTCTTACCTTCCTGTTTAACTATCTTTACAAATGCATCCGCTGTGCCTGTGTACTTCCCAGCCTATTAATAGAACAAACTATTATAGTTCAATTGGTTTCCTTCCCAATCTGTTTCCTTGATTTTCTCCACTCCCACTTTTCCATACATTAGCCTTGTCCTGTAATCTAATTTTCACCAACTCTGCAGGTACAACTACGAACGCCTCTGTACATCCAGCAGACACGCCGCTCATGACAGACATTTGTTGTGTCATCGTGTCCGTCTTGTAGATGGATTTGAACATTTTTGAATATTGTTCATTGGCCGCAAATTTGATAGCACGTTTGGGGGCCTCAACGAGAATTGGAGGAAGAATGCCTCTATATAATCGACCGAATCTATAGCACAGAGTGTTGGATGAGTCATGAGCACCGATGCGGGAATTCTGTCGAAAACTGACGAATGCGACTAGTACTATTACTATACCCTTCGTTTTTGATGATCTTCCGGAAACAGTCTGCAATAGAAGTGTATCCTTCGCCTCCCGTACCTACTTGCAGTTGGAAACGTGTCTTTACAACTAATGTGTTCAAATCCTGTTAGTAATTGAATGCATGCTATAAATGCTGTTAATTGATGACGTTCGTACCATCAAGTGGATACCTAAAGTGGTAAAAAATGGACAAGGACCAGCATTAGACATATTAGAAAGAACATTGCATTAATGCGCTTATAAACACTGACAATGTTTTTCAGTCGGCCAACTCCTCGCTCTCTAAAGATGCTAAACTCCTCATTACTATGTGTCCATACTTACATGACAAGGATCTCGCTAACCCCCGCCATACCGCCAGCGAGGAAGAAGTATGAAAAAGGAAGAGCTAAAGCATATCATAAATGAATTAATAATCCCCTCCATTATTCGTTTTAATTTGATTCATCAATAAGACGAAACAGTTAATCCAAACCCGCTTATTTTGGTTCCAAAGAAATAATCGGGCAATGGGTAATGTCTATCTCTAACTCACGTTTCTCTGGTTTACTCATGGTCTGTTAATCGCTCAATTGAACAAGGAGAGGAAGGAATATTGGGGGTTTATAAATGTTTCTAAGGTTACTCGTTAGGAAATTTTTTTGCGCCAATCCTATTTGTCGGCAAGATGCGTAAGATCATAATCAGTGTTTATGATCGGCCGCTTAATTATAGCTATTTATGGAGATATCGTAAAGTTTGCATGGGAAGAATGAATGCACGGCTTGGATTTTGCATTCTTTAAGGGTTTTAACAATCTCCAAGCTTTTTTTTTTTACTTTCAACGCTGTCTTTCGCTACTGAAATTCGTCTTTAACTAGACGATTGTTTAAATCTCGCTACGGGGATCAAATTGTCACTGCTGCAGGGGCTTGTAGCCTTTGCTCGACTTGCTCGATCGATAGATTTCGGGCTACATATGAACCAATCACGGTTTCAATCTGACCATGATTTAAGTCAAAATTGTATCACCATATCTGGAAGATGATCTTTTGTGTATTGTTTATTTAGTATTAGTGTCATGCGGACATATATTCATGTGATTGTACAGTACAATTCCTGATATTAATACGAATTTCCAAAACAGATAATCTAAATCTATTTTAATATATGTGAAAAAGTGGAAAAACTTGTTTCATGACTTCTATCCAAGTGCCATTGGATCCTTTTATCGTTGTTGCTAGTACAGCAGTAACCCTATTTTAAATAAGACAAAATTCCATTATCATATGTATGACTAGCTGAATTTTACAGCCAGCCCCTGTCTGATAGATCGGGCAATCCCATTCTAATTATATTTTCAGGAATTGAATTCGATATGATCGAAAAGCAAAAACGTGATTTTGCTCACACACCCGCGTCGATTCAAGCGTGGCTAATTTTTGAAGGGACTACTTATTGCTAAGGCATAAAAACTCGCATGTGTAGAGGTTAAATTTAAAAATATCAAACTTTGTTTTTGCTTGTCTGCAGCTAGATGTTGCTTTAACTTTTGTAAACCGGCTTATTATTATTTCAGCTTTCGTCCTGACGATATGCACATAGAATAATAATTCTTCTGTATATAAAAACTCGGTACAAAACCAACGCATTTGGGTTGAGGAGTATATTAATCGAAAATGCGACGCGTGTTTTAAAGAAATATTATTCGTATTTGTTTCCAGTGTAGACAATATAATAGATTTCTTGATTCATATTTTTTTAGTTTTTTATTTCCGTAATTTAATTAATACCTAGCAATCGATGCCTAGCTAATATAATATCGAAACAACACAACACAATACGCTTCGACAATAAATTTGTGTAGACATATCATCGCCCGATTTTTTGTAACATCTTAATTAGTATATCGTCATATGTGACTAATACAGCATAGCCCTAATACAGAAATTAGGAAAAGTCAAATTTCCTTTTTTTTTTTCAATCGTATTGATTGATGAGAAATATCATATAGGCTGTTGTAAAATTAACATAAGCCGCTGGGTTTATGTGTTGAAGGATACTGTAAACACCCCCTTGCGCTTGTTTAGTCGAAAACTCTATAGTCATATCTAGCAGCTATTGGATAACCATTGTCGAAAGAAATAAGAACAGGAGTTTATATTAATTCCTAATAGCAAATGCATCTACCGCGTGAGCAAAATGTGAACGTGATAACGGTCATAAACGCAAGTTACGTATGTGCATATTGAGAATTCACTATTGATGCGCACAATAATCGATGCTCAAATCTATTGGATATGGAGTTACACACGTGTTTTGTACACACATGCTTTTAACTGCGATTTTTAATGACAGACAAGACATATATCCTTTACTCTCACAATAATATCTGACAAAAATTAGCCAAAGGTATTCTTATGGCTTGATTGACACTTGGACAGCCCAAATATAGTCAGCGCTTGATTCATCATTAAGAAGCGGATATGCATTTACTAATGCTAAATACTTGTAGGAACAGCCATTCATTCGAGATTCGTCCAATGCTGAGCCTAGCGTCATGGATACCACTAATCGTACATGCGTGTATTCTTGGAATTGTATTTTATGCGGTGAACAGAGTGGTGCCCGATGCATACATGGTAACGCGAATAAAACAGGATATAGATATTCACAAGTGAAAAATATCAATGTGGTGTTAAGTGCATCGTTTATTCTCTGTAGGATGAAATATTCCATGTTCCACAAGCACAAAGATACTGCAATGGGGATTATTACACTTGGGACCCCAAATTGACTACTCCACCTGGATTGTAAGTATAGTGAAAAAAAGTTGTTGGTTATTATATTTGTTATTCTTTGCTTACCCAACATAATGTATCAATCCACAATCACGTCACCACGTCTTTATACTCCAACCTCGTCTTCACCCATGGGATGAACAATCATGAACATAACCTCCACTACTGATCAGATACATAATTTCAAACATTCTAGTTACACTTTTATCTACAGTGCCTCCATCTTCACCTTCCATATTCTGTTCCATTCAATTTCTCCGAATGACCTCTTTACTATTTACGATAATGCTCTCTTACCTACTTCCACACCTTCTCCACTCTCTCCATCCATCCGTATCTCCATATTCATTGCGGACGATAATGGAATCGATTGTGATATCATCATTCCCAGTGTTATGGTTTTATAGCTTTTTGTATTATACTGACACTGGATCAGCTTTTTTTGTGTTGGCTGGATATTATTTGGAGAGGGTTGGAAAGTATGGTCCGAGTGCTATGGTATGTGAATGTTTGCCAACTCGAGAATTTTCGCAACATGAAAAGCCTGGAATGTGCCAAATGCAAAATGCAATACACATATTATGTTATTTTTACCACGCAAGATACCACTTTCTTTGAGAACCCCCCAAATAATATTACCTCTCCATCATTCTATTTACAGTGTTTGGCGATATCCATTTTATTCCGTCAGACCAATGTAATATGGGCATGCTTTGTAGCTGGAGATATAGTCTCTTCCATTCTTTCACCCGTTATCTTTTCCTCACCATCCAGCGAAAGAGATTCTCCTGCTAGTTCTCAAGAATATTCGTTCATAGGTGAGGCGCGCGATATTGGAAAGTGGCCTTCTGGTTATGATGCGACTAAATGCGCAGTTGTATTATACAGAACGGTGGATAAAAGTTGCAGAAAAGATTGTAAGCGGAATACAGAGTAATTTGAAGATACTGGTTAGGAGAATGATCCCATACTTTGTTGTTGTGCTCTTGGTTGGAGTATTCTTTGTGTGGAATGGAAGCATTGCACTTGGTAATGTACTTGGTAATCTACTATAATGTTTTGTGTTGTCCAAAATGCTGATTACCTACTTGATCTTTATAGGCGATAAAGCGAATCACGTAGCAATTTTACACATTCCCCAGATATATTATTTCATTGCATTCACAGCTGTTCTCTCGCTTCCTCTCACCATGATCCATCCAAGTGATCTGTACAATTTAAGGTTAGTGGGTGGGAGATAACGATGTAGCTGATAATACCGATCTACGCAGATCTAACACATGATTTTGATCAGGAAATGTTTGATTACACCGATTGCATACGTAACAATGTTACTTATGACCATATCCGTACATAAATATACGTAAGTAAGCTTATTTGTACTTCGGCAGCAACACATTTTAAGCTTTAGTGAAACGCTTAATTTGCTTAATTTTTAACGCTATTAATGGTACTCGCGTCACAAATATTGATAGATATGAACACCCATTTCTGTCGAGTGACAATAGACATTATTCGTTTTATGTATGGAAAAAGGTATACAAAAGACATCCGTCGGTTAAATACTTGCTGATTCCGGCATACTTTACAGCATTACAAATAATTCTCAGACCACTGAGTAAGTGACTGTAATTACGCTTACCAATTATGGGCTCTGTTATTATCATTATATGCTCTAATTAACATTCCCTTTCAGCTGCGTGTAGGTCGTCGCTATGGGTGCTAACCTTTGCTGCCGCCGTCTGCCTGACTCTAGTACCATCCCCATTATTTGAATTCAGATATTTTATTATTCCGTATATTATTTATCGTTTAAACATCAGGCCACCATCGACAACACGACTATTGCTCGAATTTATGACATACTCGTTTGTAAACGCAGTCACATTGTATTTGTTCATTTACAAACCATTTAAATGGGAATCAGAGCCTAACCAGCTTCAAAGATTCTTGTGGTAGAACACTGACTGTTGGCGTGAGAACGTGAGAATGCGGGAGAACGGAAAGACCGGAAAGAAAATTAAATAATAATAAAAATTATAATGGCACATTGTTATTATTTTCAATAGAAAAAAAGCCTTCACTACCTGGGTAAGAAACTTTTTGGCTCGGCATTTTTATTAAATTACAAATCATCTGCCCATTTGCCAAGCCTTTCTTCAAATCGAATTTCTACCTTGGCAGCCTCATTATGACGCCGCTTTCTGTTAGTATTTCCATCGAATCACTCTAATCTTGGGCTTGTTTACTCGACCCCATTGATTCTATTTGATGGACTAAAGATTCCGAACATTCGTAATTAGATTGTTGTGTTACCACGTTGATAGATTATGTCACATAAAAAACGATACGGGGATTTCTTATAATTTGATAAAGAAGTAAAGGTGTACCTTACCGTATTCATAAATACTGAACGAAACAAGTTTCGGCAAGTGAGAAAATCAAAGCAGGACAATCATTGTACAATATACCGCTGTAGGATAGAAACCATTTGTATTTAATCGCTATGTCATTACAAGAGGAAGGCAATTTGGAAAACTATCTAATCGAGAAGGCTGGTGCCGATATCGAAATAAAACAAAAGGCTACAAAGCAGATTATGTTTATAAAGAAGAGACTCAATGTATGATAACGTGCGGTTGGTTGTTTTGACAAAGAGAGTTGGAGTCGAGCACGTCCGGATTAGACATGACAAAATGTGAATTTTACTTTTTGCCCTCCCCACACCGCTTGTCAAATTCAATACAATCTCACAATTCGTTGAATATTTTGTAGATACCAAATTCATACACAATAGGATTATACCACCCATATGTTGATTCAGCATTAGCCGAAGTTCGCAGTCAAAAGTATGACTCAAGGATAAAACATCTCAAGCTGTACAGCGTACGTGTTGAGCTATCATTTAATCGTGTACCCCCTCTCCCCCCCATCGCATACGATAATCCCTTAGTTCCTTGCTTACATCTTTTTATTGCCTATTCTATTACATGTTGCTAACATTTTCATCTCTCCTCAAGCCTGAATTGGAAATCGAATTTAGAAACACGGGAAAACTGGGCTTTGCAACCGAATACGAATTCCGCTGGCAGGACGAGCGTTATATTTGGCGAAAAGGCCCGCTAAACAAGGAGCTCGAATGTAAAATGATGCCCGAACGAGGGCCAGGTATTGGCGTTGCAATATTCCATCCAAAGAAGAAACTAAGTCAATTGGGTATCGTAACCGTGATGTATTTCAACATGGATAGGCTGGATGTGTCGGATAAGAAAGGACTGGAATACGTAATATTGATTTCTTTGTTATCGATATTGGACAGAGGAGACGGAATTTTTACGCGAAAACACAATGTCTCGACTAGCATGCCCGCTCAAGTCTCTCCTACTGTTGGTAGTCCTCGAGAGAAAGAACGACCTCAGGAAACCAAGAAACTAGAGAAAAAGTCAAAGAGCGATGAAAATGTAGCAACAGAGTTGGCAGAGAAAGAGGCAGCAGAAGCTAATGTTGAAACGGAAAAAAGAATTAGAGAGGCGAGAGAACAAGAGAGACGAGATAAAGAATTAGCCAAGAGATTGGCCGAGTTGGAACTTGATGACGATGGAGCAATCGAAAGACAGGAACAGTTGAAGAGGGAGCAAGAAAAAGCTGATGAAGAATTTGCAAGGAGGCTGCAAGAAGAAGAAGACGAAATGGCGAGTCGAGAAGCGACACCTACAATTCCTACAACTGCCAGCAATCCTGCTCAACCCATTCCTGCTCAACCCATTCCTGCTCAACCCATTCCTGCTCAACCCATTCCTGCTCAACCCATTCCTGCAACTTATCCTGCCATGCCCTACACAAACGACACTTCAGGACAACCTTATCCGAGTGCGCGATTTTCCATGTTTTCCGAGCAAAGCAGTCCTCAATATAATAACTTTAATAATCGTCCGTCGACGTTTTATGATGCAACGGCGATCGATTACAGTCGCATGACACAAGGATTTCCGAGTGTGGTGGGTAATGGAACCAGTGCACCTCCTAATGTATACTATCCGAATGGATACAGTGGATACAATGATGTAAGGAATGGTGGATACAGTGATGTAAGGAATGGTGGATACGGTAATTACGAGTCGACGAATCCGATTTCTCCGATACAACAGCAATATCCAAATTATCCATATCAACAACAGTATCCGTATCAATACCCGCAGCCACAATCTCAACACCAATATATACCACAAGCTCAAGCGCAGCCTCAAATGCAACCGCAGCCTCAAATGCAACCGCAGCCTCAAATGCAATATCCACCACAAGTTCAATCCCAAACGCCACCACCACCACCACTTCAACATCAATATCCACCACCACAAGTTCAATCTCAAACGCCACCACCTCAATATGGAACCCAAGCTGCCCCTCTGCATATTGTTTCTCCCGTACTTCCTTCTAAATTTTCGGATCAATCAGCTAATATTTACCCTGCCACCGCCGATCCATTTTCCGATGTGTCTGCCTATACAGTGAATAGTTCTGTATACCCTTCAGATAGTTCGTCCATACCATCTTCCGCCACATCTTCATCGGCGTACAATTATAATACGCATGCGACACATCCTTCGTTGGCACCAATAATTACAAACCCAGCAATATTAAAAGTGGCTCAACCATTGCATCGTAGCGCAACAACAACGAGCAGATCGAGCGCCGGGTCGACCAATTCGTTACATAGAACATTGACAATGACCAGCAGGGGGTCGCCATCCCCGGCATCAGAGAATAGCTCCCAAAGCGTAGACGGGCCGAGCAATTATTTCGGTCATGGTAGTGGTGGCGGTGGCGGTGGCGGTAGCAGTAGCAGTAATAGCAACGGGTATGCACAACATCATGAATACAGATCATACCAACACACAGAAGATGCCTATATATATCCGGCTCAGCCGATAGTAGCTCCGCTAGACCCAATAGCATCGTCACCATTTGCTGAATCCAGGGGTCACACCGAAATTTCATATGATGGTCCACGAAGTGCGAAAAATGAAGGATTCGTGCGAGTGGACTTGCCAATGTCTCCAACAGATAGTAGCTACGATGCTCCAAGAGTTAAAGGATTGAATATTTCGCGAGTGGGAATGAACGGTGAACGACCTCCGGTATTAATGCCTGAGCCAACTATAGGTACGCCATGACGAGCACGCGAAGTTATTATTGTTGTAGATTGCTGAAATTGGTATTTTTCGTCACCATTGTTATCACCATGGTGTGTGAAATTTCAAATATTTGTATAAAGTAAAGGAGACATTTGTAGTTTTCTAGACCCTTGGATCATATAGTTCATGTAACCATGGCACATTGATTCGTATATTTTTATTGTAATTGAAATAAAGCGCAAGTATATATTTATCTATCACCTTGACAAAATGAATAACACGTGATATTCATGTGATATTTTAATATGAATTCTCGACACATTTTTTGACTTTTTTCCTTTGTCGAAAAAAGGTCCCAAATGTCTGTAAAGGACGACGATGATCCACATACCAGCCAAATAGAAATACAAATTACATCTATTGAAGCTACTCACAGTCAGTCCATACCCCCAACACCCCCAACTCGCCTTCCCGATACCCTATCCCCTGCGACCAACGTTCTATCATGGTCAACAGGATCATCGTCGGGTGAAGAACCAGTACAATATGAGGAGTTGATGCCGCCGGCAAATTTTAATATGGTCTCAACATGGGTTTATCGAAGTAGTTTTCCAAAAAAGAAGAATTTCGCGTTTCTGAAAAAGTTGGGATTAAAAAGCATATTGTAAGTAGAGGATTGGAGAAAAGGGAGGGGGGGGTGTGTGTGTGGTGTGTGTGTGTGTGTCGATTGAAAAAAAGAAAGCGAATGATTCTGAACTAACTAGCCCCAGGGATCCAAAGTAATCTCCATGAATTCTCGTCTCTTTGTTCGTTTATCTCTACGCAAGAACTCTGATAATGGAAGAATATCCGGAACAGAATATGAAATTTCTCGAAGCAAATAATATCCATTTATTCCAATTTAGAATAGCTGGGAACAAGGTCGGTTGATAACGGGGGTGTTTATCTACTTACGGTTATGTTTGATGTGTTATTTTAAACTTTTGGTTTTGTTTGTTTGTTTCAGGAACCATTTGTTCAGAGTAAGCAGATCAGAAACTCGTATACTTTACAGATGGGCAATACGCAAAGACGATTAAACGATTCTTGTGTAAACTAATCATCTCTGGTGAACAAACAGTTCCTGAAGATAAAATATGTGCAGCTCTAGCAGTTATTTTAGGTAAATTGATGGACTATATAGTATCTAATTATTTAGCTATATTTCTAAATTTGCTATTTTACTATGCTTGCAGACAGAAGAAACCATCCGATATTGATTCATTGCAATAAAGGAAAACATCGAACCGGTTGTTTAATTGGATGTTTACGTAAATTACAGCGATGGTCTCACACTTCAATATTTGACGAATATCGCCGATTCTCTCATCCCAAGTCGCGGTCCATGGATCAGCAATTCATAGAGCTATTTGATGCAAGTCAAGTATGGCGATTAGTAGATAAGCAGTGGGTGCCCAAGTGGGAAAGTATCAAGTACGTAATATTTGTCGTGTTATGGACGCGACAAACAAATTCTTGGAGTTATTGCAAAGACTAATGCAATGCGTGTATTAATTGTCTCTATGTAGGTGATCCTTGGTAATACTCTTTATTCGTGTATAGCTTGATTGTTTGAAAAGAAAACTCGTTCGATCGATACGAAAAGCAGCAGCTTGTTAGCGATTACCTAATAAAAACAAACCTTGTTACAAACAATGTATGTCAGCATCCCTATGAGCAATATGATATACATAGGTGACTGTTATAATTCAGCTTGGTGCTGCATTTACAAACGGGAATCCCTTTGCGAAAAGTCGATAATTCCAGACTAGAGAAATTTAGGCATCGTAACCATCAGGTGCAAATCGTGAATTAAGATTGGTCAATAAGGGTAAATTGTTTAAACACAGTTACCACCGAATTGCTTTTATCTGAAAGGAACCAAAAAAGTGCGAAAGTGATCAATTTTAGGTGCTTACATTTTATCAAGTCACGCCTTTTTTATCGTATTTCCATCACTTGCTCAGAAAACTTTCCCAACCATTCATTTACACAAGCTTGAACGAGATCAGACAAAAAAAAATATATCTTTGGTGTAAAAAATATGTAGGTCAGATTATATTGCGCTAATATTTTTGCAATTAGATATGCAAGTCCGTCTATACTTACTAAACAGTTGTTCTATTCTAATTAAGATTGATGAAATATTTTTTAAAAATAAACTGATAATTTGAGGAGGAGGAAAAGAAAAGATCCTCCCGATTTTTCTTTACTTGCATTAACAAATAAATTTTGCACAATTAATTAAAATTAGCACGTTCTCTCAAATTTTCTTTGTTGAAGAAGACTACATATTTAATTCTAAGCCTTCATCTCGACTTTGATTCAGTAAATGCCAAGTATATTGCAACAGTTAACCGCGTCATTTATTCGTACCATGGTTGCCAATCATAAACATCATAAACATTGCGAACAATATAAAAAAAGTACCCTTCTAACATTGGACTCGACAAGTTCGATGACTTGTCGCATTGACCAACTTATAAACAGTCTAAAAATATGTTCACATGGAGAAACTATTAATATATTGGTTTGTAATAGAACATTCTTACAGGAGATCATTTCTTTATGTAGCGTTCTCTTATGGAATTTATTTGAAATGCCATTACTAAACACATGGATTAGTGTGTGATCAGAGAATTGCCCTTTAAATTTTTGTTTGTTTTTCAGAACACATTTACGATAAAATGAATACTTGTGCTTCCTGTAATGGCCAATCATTTTATAAAGATTGGGTTCGACAGTTTAGTGCTTACCCATAAAAATTATATCGCAGACGCGCGTTATTTATGGTGATTAAAAGCAAATACGTAATGGACAAGCAATGATAGAGCGAATTGTCGTCTTTTTGATATATAAGCCAGCACTAATATCACCCAGGCTGTTATTATTACGGCTAGAAAATAACAAGTTCTACCGTATCAAATGTAGCATTGCAAAAACATTGGGGACAATAACAGCGTCAGACTCGTAACTACAACTCTGGCATGCGGTCATTTAAATCATGTATTAGCTTGCATAATAATAATATCATGTGCTTGGGTTTACGTAGAAGACCAATTTGTTTTGCTTTACGGGCAGAGTTGACAATATTCGGTCTTATTACGTAGCATGACTTTCTAAACCAATTATAATCACCATCGTTAATTAAATTTATGCTTGCACTTTATTTTTAATTACGTGTATTTTAATTATCAGAAGGCAACTGCCGAATATTTATATATGAGATAGCATGATCAATGCTTGATTACCTTTTTTGTGCAAGTTTATAATTTCACATGTTCGATTCAGTGCATCTAGCTTTCCTAGGCTATGTCGACAAATACGTGTATTAATATGTAAACAGTCGTCTTATTCAAGTTTAACGTTGGGCCATGTGATCGATTCAAAACAGCAATGCATTGTGAGGTTTGTCTTTAATTTCATATTTGGTAAAGAGCAGTCAATATGCTCCGGCGGTATATTCTGGATTACATAACAATAGCACAAGCGCTGAGCATCACTGCCGTCACCATTGAAAATGGACGTTGTACAGTATATTGATCTAAAGTATGTCCTTTGTTTAACCTGTACTTTCTATTGGCCAGCTACGTAGCAGCGCCACAAAGAACAATTGAATTCGTTGTAGAGTATGTATATGTGACGAAATTGTGCGGGTGGATGTAACGTGGTCGAGCATGAACATAAGGGGAAAGCACAACGTAAAATAGAAAGTGATATACACTGGATACACAATTGACTATATACATTGGCTAGTTTGCCGTCTTTATTGGGGTTTGCGTCTTCATTGGGTTTGCCGTCTTTATTGGGTTTGTGAGACAGAACGACTTCTATCATTCCTTGGCATATATGCACGATTACTGGCTGTACTTTGAAGGCTTACACACTGTGCAACCAAAAGTTATCTACACTATTATTAAATGATAATGCTATACTTTCAATGTAAACAAGAACTCTAATCGAATGTTGCTCTTTCCCTAAAAGATGTTCCCAGCGAATTAGACGACAAGATATATTCACATAATCAGAAAAACTTAAAGAACAATAATGACGATAACAATGATGACGAAAAATACCAACTTAACAATCTACAACAATAATATCGTTTTCTACCGCAATAGTAAATATAAAGCGCAACAACACAAAGGTCAAACTGTCGCTGATATAGATAACGAGAACAACCCACAGAACGCAAGTTCAGAACGAACACAATAGAAGACACACCAATTATTGCTTAAACGATGGCTGTTCTTCAAATTCAGAGAACCGCAACTCGGTGTAACACAACAGAGGTACAGAATGCAGATATGGCATGCACAACTTGAGATATTTTCCGTAAAGTGCATGCTGTTAATATTAGTCACAATACTATTAATACTATTGTAATATATTATGGCCGTTCGGTTTTTGTGCAACTTTACGTGCATAATATTTATTTTACCAATATTATCATCATTTTACGGCCGTTGTTGTTCATCTGTGCTATTATAATAATGCGGTCAGCGCTTATTGTCCTATTCGCTCTCATCATCGTATATAAATAACCTCTGGATCATGCATCCGGTTTAGCAATAAGGAACACTACTAAAATGCCGGCTCAGGTAGTCGCATCACTTGCCATCGACTTGTCTCATTTATTATCAGACGCATCTCTTGCAGACATTAAGATCGAAGTAGGAAACGGGGCGGACAAGAAAGTGTTCTATGCGCATGCAGCTGTACTTTATACGCGCTGTCCATACTTTAAGAAAAAGACACTAGAACATGGATTACAGGATGCGAACGCCGAGTCGAGAATCGGAGAAAAAATTATCAGAATTGATGATATCAGACCAAACATTTTTGAACACATTCTAAAGTAAGATAAATTGAACAGAGGAATCAATAGCGCATATAATTGTTGCGCAATGTCTCTAATCTGTCTTTTTACCACTTGTCTTCAGTTATATCTACACAGACTCAACTCCCCCAACCAGCCTTCCCCCAGATGATCTTTTGACTCTTCTGGCCGCATGCACCAGATTCTCTCTTCTCTTGCTTATCGCATCCATACAAACGATCCTCGTCAACCATCAATCTTCGTATCTCCTCTCTCACTTTTCGCAAATCGATGCCCTCTCTACGACGAACAAAAACTTCTCCATTCTCCGCAGATACTGTCAACACACGGTCAAGCGTCATCCGACAGCTATAATGAAATCGGAAGAATTCGTCCGTTTGTCAGAGGACATGCTGATCAAGATACTGAAAAGTGATAAGTTGACCATGGACGAAACGGAGATTTGGGAATATGTATTAAGATGGGCTACGGCTCAAGAGCCGGTGCTATTGATGGTATCGTCTTGGTCAGCGAAAGAATACGAACTACTAAAGGACACTTTGAAGAACATTATACCCCATCTACGATTCTTCCAAATGCCATCTAAACAATTCTTGATCAGAAGTCGATTATTCCAATACGTACTTCCATACGATTTATTCAACGATGTATATAATTATCATACTCAGAATTCATACACTCCTTTATCACCCGTATTGCCGCAAAGGCAACAATCAAAGAAGAGGAACGTCACTTGGCATCACTCTATCGACGGTGAATACGATGACAGTACGAACAGAGAAGTCACACCGCCGCTACCATCTTCGCCACCAACAAAAGCATCTGCTTCACCCTCTCATTCTTCTTCCCCTGCTTCCCCTACTCCTTCCTCTTCAACTTCCTCTTCCTCTTCTTTTTCATCTCCCTCTCACTCCCGCTCTTCATCGTATTCGTCCCCTTCTTTGTCTTCCTACTCTTCCTCCTCCTCTCCTCCCTCGTCGCCACAGACACTTCCCATTCAATCACCATTAAAGCCATCAAAGAACAACCTCGACTCGCTGTTAATAACACCCACACACGGAAACTATCTTGCATCTTGCATTTTTCAACACTCTCAAATCAACAACTCGACAAATAAGCCAATACCAAATACACTATACCGCTTCCGACTCTTGTACCGCGCATCTCTACACTCTTTTTCCATTTCAACGTTTCATCGCCTGTGCGACAGACGAGGACCGACGTTAACAATTGCACGGATAAGCGATTCTTCTGATATAGTTGGCGGATATACCGATGTCTCGTGGCAATCATCAAAGAAGGGATCGTTCAAAGAGTCGAACGAGTCGTTCATATTCTCATTTGATAAAGGGGATGCCCAAAAAGCACAAGTTCAGTTGGTCAAGAAATCGGAAAGACAACGAGCAGTCTGGGTAGGACGAAACCGGGGCGTTGTCTTTGGAGATGGATATAAATTAGTGAAAATTTATCAAATAACACTAGATGCACTGCCTCTACTTTTGCTAACCTATAAAAGTGACCTTAAAATTGGGTTCGGATACTCACGGTTCGCGATCAATCTTGTACATGCCGTTCCTAAATTGCTATTTAACTTCGAGTTCGTATGTCTAATTTTTTGATAAATCAATTTTAGAAACCTGTAGGTCGGAGAATTTTCTCTAACCAACGATTTGTCGTAAGAATTAAATAATAATTCTGATGTCAAAGATTTCAATGAAATCGAAGGCAAGCTCGATTTCGTCTATCGCCGATACGGAAAACCCATTTGCACTTTTACCAGCGATAGAAATTTATCAGGGAATAATTATATTTAAACACGGATTTTATTAGAATAGTATTATTTGATTAAGAACAATATAAATGAATTGAGATGCTGAAGCTACTGATTGCTAGGAAACTACGATTACCTTCTATCGTTTCATTAAACTAATTGCTTGTTAAGATTTTTCGATAAAACGGGATAATCAAAGTGTCAAGAATTTTCTCGACATGCTTGCATCTGTCACAGCTTTTGCGCTTATATTACTATACTCAAGTGTCCGATGTGTGTCACAGATTTCGTACCACCGACAGCGGAAAAATGCTACGCTCAATCCTGAACAATTCAGTTAATATTAACTAGATAATGTCCCGGAATAAATCATCACAAACTGATGCACTTGAATTGAGAAATAGTGGGGCAGACTATTTGATGCTTGGTCAATATGAAAATGCTTCAAAGCATTTTATGAAATCTTTGGAATATGAACCAAATAATACATTAACATTGAGACTATTAGCAGATGCCTACTATATGCTAATGCTTAATCAGTATGTGAATATGAATGGTTACCAAATTGGAGATACAGGAGCAACAGTTATGGCAAAAGTTCTAGAATCAAATTCCTCTCTGACTTCTTTGGATCTTCAACGGAATCAAATTAGAGATACAGGAGCAACAGCTATGGCAAAGGCTCTAGAATCAAATTCCTCTCTGACTTCTTTGGATCTTCAACGGAATCAAATTAGAGATACAGGAGCAACAGCTATGG